CGTAATTGCCCTCCGTGGCAGAACTGCTTCCCTGTGAATACTAACAAGGCCTGTGAAGATGAACAACGCTGAACTGCTGTGGGAATGATTGGCTGCTTTAATGGCTTTTCATTTAGCTCTTTAACATTATATGTGGGGACAAGCATGGAGGGATCATATGACAATAGGACCCTGGGCACAGACATGTAAAAGTGTCCTCCAACCCCACCAATCCTCATAGACAAGAAAAAGAATCACAGGTTAAAGAGACCCAAAATGCCCCAAATAACACCGCCGAGTGTGGTTATGAGTCTCTTTGTGGTGGTTATTTATATTTGGTCATTGTTGCTTCTTATTGTGGTCGTTTTTTTTATCTCCTTTTTCTTGTTTTGCACCTATTTTGATGTATTGCATCTTTTGGTGGTCAGTTTTGTCAGGTTGTTTTGTGCATCTTTTGAGTCTCTCTGCATAATTGTGTGTCTCTTTATGTTTGTTCTGCACCTCATTTGGGTGGTTCTTCTATAGCCGCAATGCATCTTTATTTGGTCATTTTGTATCCATGTCATTTTCCCTTTTTTTGTGAAAATGACTTGTCTCTTTGTGCTCTTTTGCATTTTTATCTGGTGGATTTGCGTCTCTTTTAGTTGTTATTTGTCTCTTTGTGGTTTCAAAAGCCCCTTGCCCCCCTGGGCCTTAGCCTGGTAGATTTGTTCAGTAATACATGAGCAAAATATTTCAGTGGATTTCAGGCTTTTTACAAGTTGAACACTAAGGGGGCAGAAAGCCTTAAAAGTAGCTGACTGCAGGCATCATTCATTATTTCATGATCATTTTATAATCGTGCAACTTTATAATTTAAAGTAGGACTTAGGGAGCTCATTCAAAATGTGCCCCATGTTCCCACAGTGCTTCATGGTGCATGTACGTACCTACAATAGCAGTTTACCTAAACCAAAATACATTGGAACATTTATTATGGCATTTATTGCCAAACCAAACAATGAACTAAATGGTTTATATCTATATATAATCTTGTAGCTGGTAGAGATGCAACTGATTTGTTTACATGTTTTATCTTGTTTGTTTCATTGAATCTAGTAAAAAAACGATAAACTGGTCGTGTTTTTAAACGTAGAACCATAATCTGAGAAGAGGCTTGTAACTTTAGCAGAAAAATAAAATGTACTATGAATTTTTCTTTCAATATATCAAATTCTGTGTTATAAATACATAAAGAATATGAAAAAGAACAAGTGCATTTAATCTGAGAAAAATAGTTCACTACTGGGATTATCAATTTATAAAAACAATTAATATTTTGTATATTATATCCATGAAGAATTTCTGAATTCATTTTCTATATCATGACACATATTTTTATATTTTTATATCGCAATAGAAAATTACACAAACAGGGCTGCAATTTAGTATTTTACCCATATCCTTCAACCCTGCTTTTGTTTACACATTGTGGATTTGAGCTGTCCTGATACAGCACAGTGAGTGCACAAGCCCACATTAAATCCATTCACTGTAATATCAAACATTTTAAAAGAAGAATAATGTTTTATCCTGCTGCTGGTCATATTGTGTCTCAGTATTTGCATTGTGCACTCATCATCAGTCATTTGCTTGTATAAACATGTGAACTGAGCAGACACCTGTCCCATCACTGGCCAGCAACAAAGCAGCAGATGGCAGCGATGCATGCTGACATAATAAAACCTCTGTGATTCTAGTAACTAGTTTGTCAAAAGATTATATCTTGTATAGCAGAGGAAATAAGCAATATCTGATAATAGATTTGGGCCTGAAGCCTAATGTGTTTGATGTGATGGCGAATTCTGTATAAAAAAACATTACACTAAGTAAAGATGTCAATGCTTAGGAACAAATATGCTTCGCAGGCTGATTACACACTAAGCAGGACCTGAGAGCTCACTTCACGTCATTGTAGTTGCATCTTTATTTGAAATGAGAGGGCGCCATCTACTGGCTATCCCTTGCTCTGAGTTTATTGAGCCACTGTGTTGTTTTTTCTTAGCCTTTTTTTCTGACTGTACTAAAAGCTGATATAGAAGGCAGTGCTGTTAAATTAAATCCCCTATATGACAATTGTCTCGTCATAATTTTAGAAAAGTAAGTTCTGGAGACACATCTCACCACAACTCTCCCGCAGGATTTGGAAAAACTTGTCCATGCTTTTATCTTCAGTAGACTCGACTAGACTCTAATGGTGTCTTTGCAGTTGGGTTTAGGCCCAACATACATTTATGACCTGCTGCTAAATTATGAACCATCCAGATCTCTCAGGTCTTCAGGGACTGGTCAGCTTTCTGTCCCCAGAGTCAGAACTAAACATGGTAAAGCAGCGTTCAGTTATTATGCTCGAAATATCTGGAACAAACTACCAGAAACCTGCAGGTCCGCTGCAACTTTTAAATCCAGGCTGAAGACGTTTCTTTTTGCCGCTGCTTTTAATTGAACTCTTCATATCTTAAACTGCACTGTAAACTTTTATTCATGTATTTTTTCTTTTAATGTTTATTTTATTATCTTTGCTTTTTAATGACTGTTTTTAAATGCCATTTTCTTAATGTCTTTCATTTTTGTAAATCACTCTGAATTGCCTTGTGTTGAAAGGTGCTATATAAATAGCCTTGCCTTGCCTTGCCCAATAACATACAAAAAATGCCTTTACATTTTCTTCCAACAATTTATGTTGTGTATTTATTTAAAGGTTCATTCATTATTTCTAGAGACTGTAGAGGAAATGTTGAATAATTAATTGTGGTTTGACAAAAGATTGTCAAATAATACAAACAATTCTGCAGGGCCCCTGTTTGCTTTACGGCTTACTTATTTATGACAAGGATGTAAAAATAAAAATAATAAAGGCAAGGGTGGCCTTGTTAGTCTAATTAGAAATCTGAGTCACAATTAAGTATTATAGATTGACTCACCCAGATTAAACACCTTATACATTTTAATGATTAAACTATACACAATAATACAAATACACAAAAAGCTAAGAGTACAGCAGAGTCAGCTAATATTAAATGACATGACATTGATCTACAGGAGGGTCAAAGGTCAGAGTCACTTCAGCGGGTTTAGTGACTCCTGAATCTGGAGTTTGAAGCACTTTGTCATTCTTCTACACAATTAAGATATTTTTCAGAAAACTCATTTTTTTTGTTTGGTAACCTGACAGGCACCATATTAGTTATACTCAGCACACCCCTGGCAAGACTAAATGAACAGTATGATTGTGCATGTGGAGATTCACAGTCAGACAGTGATGTGAATATATATTTTAGACGCCTAAAAAGATTGCCCAACATCAGAATATTTCCTCACAACGGCTAAAAATGGCAGCAGGTCCAACATTAGATGCATCTCTTCTTTCACATTTTGTTATTAAAATGTTTTACATTTGAAATGAAACGTACCTTAAGTTAAGAGTTGCCACAATATCAGATTTTCCTTACACTCTTATTTTGGCCGAAATAAGTATTGGACATTATTGGGATATCTATATCAAATCTAAAGATGCACTTATATACAGGATTCAAAATGTAGTTTTTTCCTAAATAATATATAATAATATATCTATTGCCTTTCTATCGTTGTGATGTCTGTGTTAAGAAAATACTGATTGTCAAACTTGCCATTACTTTCCTGTGATTGAAATGCTCTAGTGTAACAGGAGGATTATGTCTAAAAGATTTTGAAATTTAGCTTTTCTGGTGAAACAGGGAAGTTCACATTTTGTATATAAGAAAGACAAAGGAATGTGGAGTGACAGGTCTAGGGGCAGTTAATCATTACAAAAGAGAAAACTAATATTTGAAAGGATTCAGCTAATCAGATAGCTTTGGGTATATTTGTCCATGTTTTCAGCTCAACACAATGGAGGTGGGTGGGATTTTGTTTGTGGAGACTGAAGAAAATATGCTATTTATTAAATTATTTGTTCAGATTATGGGCATATAGGCCTACTTGTAAAACATAATGTTACTCTGGATTTTTCATATGGACTACTTCTACAGTAGTTCCACTGAAAACTGAAAGGGAAGTTGCTGTGAAACGTCTTCAAATGTTTTCATTGTTTTTTAAATGTTCTGTGACTTCGAGCAGCACAATTGAGTACATTTTTAAAAACAAGCCCAAGGCAAATGCTTTATTTATGTACGTTATGTATATATATGATTTTTCTATTAGAATTAAAAAAAAGAGTTGATCTATTGCATGTGTTAGACTTATTCTATTCTTCAAGACAATAATGAATTCAGAGTGCCAGTAGCTAAACTACAGGCTGGATGAATATATATTCAAATTGTTTTTTATCAAAGAATGATGTAACCCACAGAGCAGCAGGATCTCCTGGCCCTCAGGTCAGCGTTCAAAGATTCAAAGGTTTTATTGTCATATGCGCAGTAGCTACAGTGCATAGTTATGGCAAGGAACATTTAAAATCACAGGCTCCTCAAACAGTGCAACATAAATATATATAATATAAGACATAAAACAATACAAATAGTGCAAAAATAAATAGTATTGAAATAAAATAGTGCAGGTAAATGAGTAGAAGTAAGAAGTAAACTATACACATGTAAAATAGAATAAATGAGCTAAAAACAGAATTTAAATGAAATACTATGTTGTTTATTGTAATAATAAATAAATATGTAAAATAAATATGTATTGGCCAATGGACACTGAGTTAATATGTGTTAAAAGAACACTGTAAAAAAATATTATATCTGATTACGCTAAACAATTTATATACTAAGACTTAAGAAGCCAAAATAAATAAAAATAAACAATTAAGATAATTTAAAGCTAAGATTCTGCCACGGCTTTTCCCACCCATTTTATGAGTACCTGAACGCACCCCTGTCTCTGTGTGCGCGTTCACGCAGGAGCTCAGCGCGTCCCAGTCATGTGACAGCAGCTAACCACGCATGCGCAAAGAAAATACAAGATGGCGGAGAGTGCGGAACTGAAGGTAAGGCGCAGCCTGAAATCGTTGTAATTTTACTCGGTTACTAAGCGCTTGGTTGTCAAGTCCTAACGCCCGACAGCCATTTTTAGCATTAAGGTAATGAAATGTTGTCATATTGTATTTCTTACCGCCCAAATGCAGGAGCAACTTTCTTGTATCGACGAGCATGTTTATGTTGATATTGACTCTCGCTGCTGAGAACGGTTTTGTGAGCAGCGGCTGGCGGAGCGGCTTTCACTTTAAAACATCCTCTGTGTGCTCTTTAACCCCGGAGACAGGCACTCACCTCCGGGCAGCATCCCCGCCTCTGCCCGGTGTTTGGGTTATATATTTGAGAGGGAAAGTCCTGAGCTGCAGAGCATTTTGTCCCGCTGATAGTGTGCAGATTGTGTTTGAATGTGACAGCGGCTTGGTGTTTTAAAGCATGCACACATGAACGGATACTGCTCACTTGGGATGTGCATGGTTATAAAGTTTATAAAGACAGAGGTAGACTGTCTGCAGCTGCAGGAACGTCACCTGGTCTGCTCGGTCACACCTGGGCTCACTTTACCTGTTGATACAATTAACATGTAACGGTGCCCCACTCACCGTTATACAGAGTACACTCAGGGGGGAGAGAAGTCCTTTACTTTTACTCTCTTACTCTTTGTCCTGTTTAAACACAGTTTTTATTTAATTTCAACAATAATAAGTCAAATAGAAATACATTATTGGAAAACCTTACTGTGGGAGAAAAGGTAAAACAATAAAATGGTACAAATATTTGGTAAAAGTCAATATTTGTTTATCCTCTCGAGAAAAAGGTAAAACAATAAATTGGTGCAAATATTTGGATACAAGCTAAATAAGTACACATATATATACCTCAGCCCCTTGCTTGTGTTAAAATACTTGTATTATGTTTCAAATAAAGTGAATACATGGTAGTGAATAAGCAGTGGTGTAAAAACTACAATATTTTCTTCCAGAATGTTGTGAAGCAATAATATAAACTTGTATAAAATTGAAATACCGGAGTACAGCACAAGTACCTCAATTATATTAAAATGCAATACTTGTCAAGTTGTATAAGTGTATTTAATAACTTTGCACCACTGAATATTCATCACTGATGCACCCTGCCTCTAACATGATTCTGTTGTCTCTGTAGCAGCACTTTAACACTGTTTTAATTTAGCCTTATGAAGCAGAGTTGGAACATATCTAGCAGTTATTGATCACAGTCTTGAGCTATTTTTAGACTTTTCCCCCGCTGTGTTTCCACTGCCTGGCTCTGTGGATCTATACGTGCTCCTTTGTGCCAGCTGCTGTTCGTCTGCACACTGTAATGAAGCCTCGCCTGCTTTGAACAGCCAGATGTGGTCCTACTAAAGGCTTTCGTTGATTTAACTAAGTGATATTCTCTATGTAGAAGGCTTCTTAAACTTCTACATTTGCTTGCTTTTTCATTTTCTTAATGTAAAATTAACACTTGGGGCTGCTGACAACAGACACAAATGTTCAATATCTTTATGTCAGATAAAAGTGATATGCCCACAAATCACAAATCTACTCTTGACTAATTTTGTCTGACAAACCCCAAAATAAACGTGGGGATTTTAAACAGCTTTTTCATTACCAAAGTTATTTCATGATGATTTCAGCTCAGAGGATGGAGGGTTTTTTGTGGTTATGCTCTTTAGAATAATCAGAAGAATCGGTGCCTTGCTTAAGGCCGGACACTTTCATCCTCCATGAATTTTAACCTAGCGCTGTGGTGCAGACTGAGGAAGCTTTTATAGATGCAGATTTTTTTAATTCACCCAACTGTATACAACCACTGCAGACAGATAACATCAACAAGCTGGCCTGAAGTCTTTGTTTAAAAACAAGTGAGGTTCCCTTCAGTTGTGATTCACTGCTGATTGATTTGGCTCTTTCTTGCTGTCTTTAAGTTTTATAACAAGAGTCAATTACTTACAAAATTCCTGTCAAAATCCCTCCTCTGAAAATATATTTTTCTTGGTTGTAGGTAGAAATATTTCTAACCTGATGTCGACATAACTCTTGAGGAAAGAATAATACGAAACTGTCAAATATGGGAAGCTGCTAAACCTTTTCTGTTACATTTGTTTTTACAAAACCAAAATGCTCAGAGACTTCAACCCTGTGCACTTACCATATAGTATTATCTTCAATGGTTTTCTAATTTCCAAGAGAATATTACAAGCTTGTGAACATAGATTATAAATTCCCACATGTGTTAAATTAGCTTTGTTTACTTAGAGCAGATGAGAGGTGATGGCCACTTATGTCGGTGTCATTAGTTTTAAACCTATAGTATTCTGGGTAATTTTTTGTGTCATTAGTAGTATCATTTTATTGTCCAGGTTCTCAAATAATGTGCTAGTATGATCCAAGCCCCCAGGAAGTGCGCCGGACTCTGAGGAAAATATTCGTTGTGGCCAAACGGCGGTACTACACCTCCGTATCAGTCGCTGGGCCCGGAAAGACTTTTCCCCATTGACTTACATTGGGAAAGAGACGTCTGTAAATCGTTGGATAATTTATTTTAAACTAAATAAACTACCCAGTATGAACATTTGTATAGCCCTTATTAAAAACATTCGGTCCTCAAGTTGTAAAATGTGCTAATAACGTTATTCTGAGAGTTATTTTCCTCTGCATTATGAACGTGGATCTAACCCACGGGACCGCGCCGCCCGGCACGTTCATGTGACGTGTTCCGCACTACATGAGTTTTACCTTTACCCATGGATGCACAATAAGAACGGATTATATGATTATATAGGTTTGTGACGTTTCGCTCTCTCAAAAGTTGGGCCATTTTGTCTTCATGCGCCAATGAGCAACTCTCATAGGAATGAACGAGGCCCCGCCTCCCACGCTGTATCCAGTTCTTATTATACATCCATGGTATTATCCCACAAACCAGCAGTGACTCCTTGATGCTCTCCCCTGACTATGAGCACATGTAATGATGTTTTTAAGTATTAATGGCGCAGGGCATCTTGCATTTTCAAAGCACAGTCCGCACACGTTAAGGTGTGACATAGCAGGGGACATGGCTCAGACAGTTCACAGGAAACGATACTTTTAACACAACCGAACAATAAGTGTTTTTTATTTCATCTTTAGTTTTTACTCGTTTGCAACAGGTACATGCATGAACAAACCCTCTGACGTTTGTCATCTTGTCAAATACAATTTGTTTCATTCAATGATGCCCAGACCTCTGTGGGTGAGTACGGAGGATCCTCTCCTGAGAATTAGATTTTTTAGGTGAAAAATATAATAAATTATCAAAAGCTTGATTCAGCTGATAGTTTGGCCTAGCATGTGACCGCTTTAAGAAATGTTCGTCCTTCAGAGTGTTGGTTAATGGCAAACTTATCAATTAATCAAGATATTCCAAAAACATAGTCCTTCGGTAAAAAATGGAAAATACCCATCAGAGTTTCCTGAAACCTAAAGTGACGCCTCCAAATCGCTTATTTTATCTGACTCATATTTAAAATTCCAAATATATTCAGTCAACTAAAAAAAGCAGCACATATTTGCAACTGAGAGGCTAAACATTTGTAGTATTCGTCCTTGAAACATTACTTTTTGCTTCACGTTTGTTCATGGTTGGCCTAGGCTTTGTATTATAGATTATACCCCAAATTGGTGCATCGATCTGTATGCAGTCACCGTAGATGAAAGCTAATGTTTGTGAATGCCTCTGATGTTACCAGCCCCTAAATGTGTCCTGTTGCATCGCATTCTGTTTGGTGGGAGTCCCGATCCGCCTCAGCCTCTTTGAACTGTCTTCTCTGTTCTGCGGAGCTGCAGCAGCTACCTGGCAGTACAAATAACTGTCTGTGCACTGGCAGCTTATAGGTGGAGACAGTCTATTTGTAGAGCCTGTGGCTAGGTTAATCCCTAATGATACAGGCCCTCCGCTCTGCTCCCCGACATCTTTTCAACACCTGCCTATTGCTCTTGTTGTCATCGTCATTATCGCTGCAGTTAATTTTCAGTTTAAAGAGAATTAGACGTTGGAAGTCACAAAGAGTGAACCCTCTCAGCTGAGGGTGTATTTAAAGCTTACATGCATGCGCAGATGTTGGCGCGTGTGTCAATCTCATACTGGATGATTAAGTGTTAGCACTCCGTGCGTTTTAGGGCATCATCTCAGCCATAATGTTAAAAGCCTAATGGTGATCGGTGCATGTAGGATGAAACCCAATACAGATGTTGCATGTCTCGTCTCTCACAGAGATGTCAGAGGTGTTTAGCGTTGAACCAGCTGTTGTAGAGAGTTATTGCCATTTCCTTGTTCTAAGCATTAAGCGAAAGATATCAGACGGGCTGCCAGATAAAGACATGGAACATACTTTGATCCTTCAGGCTGCATTACGTACTGTACAGTCTGTATGTTCAGTGAAAGCAGCATTAAAGCTCTCTCTATTGTCAGGTTTCTTTTGCCCTGTGAGAGCACTTGGTGTCTGCAGCCATCGACTTGTGCTCGGCTCTCGGCGAGATTGCAGCTTTCTCTTAACTCCTGTGGTGATTTTGTTACACAGTCCTGTTGCCTTGGTAACATGTCACATTTGAGACCGACATGGGTAGGTAGCAGTTTGGCGCTCAACGTGCATTTCCGACTGGAGGAAGAAAGGCCGGCTTTTCACTGGACACCTTCTTGGCAGATATTTTAGGTTTTTTTAAATGTTGGACTATCAGAGAGATTTTGCTGTGAATCTGAAATAAATAAAAAATATAATGTCAAGTTATTTCACCATCCTGCTGCAGGCTTTAAAAGTGTGACTCCCTCCAGTTTAGTTGAATTTGGTCTGTTGAGATGCATCAAGATTAGCTGTGGTTGAGTGCATTATGTTAGACGTTGTTTTGGCCTGATAACACTTAATCCACAGGTTTCCCAAATAGTTTAGACAGTTCAATTCATGTTCCCTCTTTTAGATGTTTTTTTCTTACTTTTATAGATAAACGAAAGCAGGCTGTGTCATCAATGAGAAGAAAGAAACGTGTACTCTGCAGAAGGTGTTAGTCTTTCTGGGCCAATAGCTTCCTCTCTCATGTCTGTTTAACAT